AAATATTATATAAATTCACATGCTAAGTGATATAATAAATACAAATGAAAATAAGGAATATTGATGTAGTTGGAAATTGTGCTAAAACTGTGTTGGGAGAATGAGAGAATGGATTTGGAGTGTTTGTGTTCAGGTCAGCGAGTGTGGCAGTGGTAAGGTCATTAAGTGCTTATGTTTAACTGAAGGAAAAGAGGAGATGCTAAGTAAAATCAACTTAGTGCCAACCTAAATACAATGTGAGGCAACCCTCTGCAGCTCTGAAATGTCAGTGGCTTCTTTCAGAAATGATTATGAAATCAGCAATAGATGCAAACTTGTAGTAATCTCTCTACCATGTAACCCTGCACACATCTCTTTACTGGGTCATGCTGTAGAAGTCACTGGACTGTACAACCCTGTTGAAGTCTCTGTACTCTGCAACCCTGTAAAAGTCTCTCTACTGGGGAAGCTGTAGGGAGGTTAGAAATGACTTCTCTAGATCTGTGGAGGGAATCCCAGTGTGGCTTTGGGGGATGGGGAGTTGAGGATTGGAATAGAGGACATAGTTAACCATTAATCTTAGAGAAAGAGGGTCTTGGATTATCTAAATGAAGTCCTCAATACATAGCCAATGCCTACTCGGCTTGTCCTTCCTCTCACTCTCACTGGCCACTTCGCTTTCATGCGGGCCTTCCACTTCAAACTAGTACACAACTCTGTTTTCGAAAGACAGCCCAAACCTTTTCATTTCATCCAGTATTCTCTTTTGTCCCTCATGTCTCTAGTCTTGTTCTAATCGACAGTCTTCACACCTACCTCTTCTGTCACTTTCTCAACCTGCAGCCATTGATTTCTATCTTTCTAGTTACTGTGTCCTTGAGGCCGGGCAGCTGCCCTCTTCAATGTCACTGGGTAGCTTTCCCCCATACTTTTTAGTTTGAAAAGTTTCTATCCTATAGTAAAACTCAAAGAGCAACAAACACAATGATTATTTTTTTCCTTCACCTTGACTTTACCAAAATGCTATCATTTTGTCATGTTTTCTTCCCACCACCCTACCCCAATCTGTGTTTGTGTTGGCAAAGCAGTTTGAAGGAAGGTTGTATTTATCATTATATTTCACTTAAATACTTTATTTCAAGTATATTAATGACTTTTTTAGATTCTGTTTTAAATTATGTGTATATGTGTCATCTGTGTGAGTGTACGCCACATACACATGGTACCCATGGAGTCAGAAGAGGTATCAGATCAAATGGAACTGGAGTTACAGATGGTTGTGAGCTGCATGATGAGTGCTGGAAACCAAGCTTGGGTCCTCAGGAAGAGCAGGAAGTGCTCTTAACCGCTGAGCCATCTCTCCAGCCACAATTTCAAATACTCTAAATACTGAAGAATGTATCACCTGAGAAAGAATGTTACTCACTACAGTATGTCATTGTTCCCAACAAATGTAACAATGATTAAATAGTCATTTAATAAGTATTCCAGAACTGGTATGGTAGTACACACCTTTAGTCCTAGCACTTAGGAGTCAGAGGCAGGTAGATCTCTGTCAGTTCCAGGCCAGCCTGGTCTACATAGTGAGTTCCAGGCCAGCTGGGTTACTGGGAGACCCTGTCTCAAAAAATACTAACAACCGCAACAAAAAAGCATTCCATAATCAAAACCTCAATTGTTCCTCAAAAGTCTTAAAATTTTATTGCTGATTGCGTTGTTTTTAATCCAGAGACCAAATTAGTTTCATATGGTGTCTTTGTTTTGTTTCTTTGATTTTTCTTAGTCTAGATTCTAGAATGTTCCACGCCTTTTGTAGAGTTGTATAATGGTTGTCATTTTTGTGAAGAATTTAAGCTAATTGCCTTGCAGAATGCCTGTCATTTTGGACTTCTTTGATTGTCCTCAAGGTTAGATAGAGGTTAAGCAATAGTTTTTGTTTTGTGTTGTGTTTTGGCCAGATCTCTGAGTAAATCAAGCTGTGTGTTTCTAGTTGCGTCATATTATGATGTCAATTTTGTCTCATTATTTGTGAAACTAAGTTTGTTTATTATTTTGTCTGCCAGATTTCTTTATTGTGAAAGTATCTTTTTCCATTTGTGGTTAACAAGTAACATTTTGAGACTGTATCCTGGTCCAGACAACTTTCTCTCATGGTTCTGAGATGCAGAGATCTTCCCTTCCTCAACCAGCTGCATCAGTGAGGATTGTAAAGCAGAAATTTTTGAATCTGTTCTTTATTACTGACATTCTTATGTGAAAAACAAAAACTCCTGTGGCTTTCTTTTTGTTCAATGTACCCAGGATTTCTTTTCCTTTTATTGTAATTCAAAGCCATCATTTTTATTTTTGTTCAAATCAATGCAAATGAGGCTGGTAGGATTCCCTTTAGGCCAGATCCTATGTCCTTCTGACAGAGGCTCACAGAGTCCTTCAGCCCCTTCTTGTTGTGTCATTTTTTTTGTCACAATAACTAAATACTCAAGCAAATCAACAGGAGGGAGAAAGATTTGGCTCATGGTTTCAGGTTTCAATACATGATCATTTGGCTCCATCACTCTGAGTCCCAGATGTCAGAAGGACATGGGCACCTTGTGGCAACCAGGAAGCCCAGAAAGTAGAATAATGATCCAGGGATAAGATCCATCCTTCAAAGGCAAGATTCCAGTGATCCACTTCCTGCAATCAGGCTCCACATCCTGGTTTCTACCACCTCCAATTAATACCATCAAATTGTGACTCCATCAATGTATTAATCCATTGATTAGGTCGTCTTCATGATCCAATCATTTTTTTCATGTGGGCCTTTTGGAGAGATGTTTTGTATCCAGATCGTAACATTTGCTTTCTGGCCCTGAGTATTCCAAGCTTGCTTTATACTTTCCTTGCTCCATGTCTGGAATTAGCCATCTCTGTGCAAAGCCTGTGTTCCTTTCAGTTGTTCGCTCTTCATGCTTTCCCTGGACCACTGGATTGTGTTACCCCGGCCACTTCCTTGAAACTCTGCCTTTTTTTTTTTCAACATTTATTTATTTATTTTGTGAATGTGTGTGTGTATGTGCATGGGTATGCATATGCCAGGGCATATGCGTGAAAGTCAGAGGACAAGTCGTAGGAGTCAGTTCTCTCCTTCTACCATGTGTGTTCCAGGGATTGATCTCAGGTCATTAGGCTTAGAGACAAGTTCCTTTACCTGATGAGCCATCTGCTGACCCAAAACTCTGTCTTCATAGGTCTTGTAATGCATTTGCTCACTGGCTGCCTTCATAGCTTTAATGACACCCCTGCACTAAAGACATTACTTTTTTGACAGACAGTGACATGCCGGGTAGAGTCACAGGACTGACCTCAGAAAGCTCACATACTCAAACATCTAGCCAGGTAGCCTTGAGATTATCTTTCAAGTAGGAAACTTAAAAAGCAGAGAGGTGTACCACAGAAGACAACACTGGCTGGGAGTCATAAATTGGTACTGTCCAGAACCCATCAGGAGTCCACTAGTCTTGACTGATCCCTGTCTCTAGTTACCACTGTAAAGCTGGCTCCTTAAGCTCCGCTTTTAGCAGGTAATCTCCCATTCTGGGAACACCTGTGGCCATCTGTTTTTGAAGAAACCAGGTTATAACCTTTTATCAGATTTCTAAGATGCTTTGAAACCCTACTTTTCATTGTGAAGACCTGTTCTCTGTGCATCAAGTTCCTATTGTCTGGAGGCAAGGCTCCCGCAGCCTGAGAGGGGTAGGCTTTGCAGTCACTGTCTCCAATACCTGGTAGCCTCAGTGCCCAGCAGGTGCTCACGTGTTAGAATGTTCACGAAAGACTCTTGGCTTTCCTCTGTATGAGGAAAGGGCTCATGCCATCTGTACTCTGAGTTTCCTCACCCAGAATGCTTTCCAAACTTTCTTAGATCTAGTTCATTCTCACCAGCTTCTGATCAAGACACTGCAGTGAGCCTGCACACACCCTTCTGCCTTCCACTCTGGCTTACATTTTTTTTTTTTTTTCAAATACAGAGCGCACTCTACAACAAGAGGAAAGCCTGTCTGGGCCTGAATGCAGAAGAAACAGTGCCTGTGTGTGTGTACGTGGTGGTGGAGGGGTTGAGGTCACATGATCAGACAAGGACATGGGTGCTGGATAGTCCAGAATGTAAGTGTTGGGAACTCAGTGAAAAAACACACAAATATATGACGTGCACATACCATAGAAGATATACAGTTTATATCCAAAAATAAATTCATGTGTAGATAAGTTCTATGAAGGAAAGTGAATCAGAGAACAGGACTTTCAGTGGGGCTGGTTCCATGAGCTGTTCGGTGAATCTTTTCTGAGGAGGTAGGATTTAAGCAGGCCGAATAACGTGAGGAACAAGTCAAGTAAAGACGCAGTGAAACAACCCAACATGGAGACAGAGAACCATCTTAGAAGCAAGCAGTGTGAAAGGACCCACTGCCTGTGAAAAGACATCCATCAAACTGGCATCCGCTTTACAACACGTTAGAATTGTTTCCCCAGGGATTGTGCCATTTGAGAAAGAGAACAAAATAGATGTCATTAGACACAAAGGCAGGGGGAGTTTCACAACTAGAGACTCTTAATGAAAGAGCTGCCTGTTCATGTATACTTCATGTAGAAGTGAAGGTTGCCGACACTCCAAGAATGAAGAAGCGTCAGTGAACAAAGAAAGTGATCAACAGGTAAATGGATACAATGAAAAACAATGGCATTTCATTCAGCCATCAAGAAGAATCAAATCAGACCAGTAAGATGGCTCAACAGTAAAGTGCTGGCTGCTAAGCCCGATGGCCTGACCTGGATCCCTTGGACCAATGTGGAGGAAGGAGAGAACCGACTTATGCAAGTTGTCTTCTGACCTCCACACTTGTGCCATGGTATGCTGACATGCATGTGCATGTACACGTACACATCCCCCACCTTCCACCCCTCCCACATATAAATAAATAAATTAGTTTTTTTTAAAGGATGAAATTACTTTGCCTGCAAGAAAATGGATGGAACTAGATGGAGAGTCTCACATGAAACAAGTCAGTCTCACAAAAGCAAGCAAGTACCACACGATTTCTCTCAGGTAAAATCTAGGAGTAATTAAAAGGCAGAAGTATTTCAAGTGTGGAAGGAAGAAGGAGAGAGGGGGAAATAATCAGCTATATTTTCGGTACTTTAAAACGTTTAGTAGTCTATGCAAATGCAAACACTGGAAGCTAGGAAGTAAGGGAGATTTGGAAACCTGGTAAAGTGTTTAAGGACCTTGTATTGAGGAAGAAGATGAAACCAGAGGTTCAGATTTAATTTAGACTTGGTAAGAAAAAGACATAGTCCCTCCTTGTTCCTTACCTCCTGCACTGGATTGAACCTTCTTCCAGAGCCATCTGTAATTACCTTGCAGTCTTTCATTAATCTTCTACTCCTCTACCACTTAACAGCCTGTCCATGCAATCAGGTGCTTCACTGCATGGTGTCACTTGTCTGCACAGTGTGGAGGGCGCTGGCTCTCCAATCCTGCTAACAGGAGTGCACTGAGAAAAGAGTGCCCATCTGATGCCTGCTCTGTGAGCATGGACACATTGCCAGCCACATGAGGGATCAATTGTCTTTTAGTTTCTAAAATAGTTGTCCCTTATCTCTTCCAGCACAAAGAACCTATGATTGATTTTACTTTTCCCCTTCCCTTCCTGAAGATCAATATGTGTCAGCAATATGGCACAGCCAATGAACACATATCAATAGCCACTTCACATTTTCTCCAGTGAGGGGTGCTCGCTTGCCTGCCCCTCACTTGTCAGCCTTACTTAAAGACTGGTCCCTGACTGGCTTTGAAGTGGATACCAGTGATTGGACGGAAGCCACAGGAGCTATTAGTCAATAGAGCCCCTTCTGCTGGCGTCTGGCCTTATTATGCTGTACAGCTGTCTTTCGGCATCCATAGAGTATTGGTTCTAGGACCCCTACAGATGCTCATGTTACTTAGATAAAATTCTAGAGTATTTGCATATATCCTGCTCACATCCTTTGGTGTGTGTTAAATCATCTCTAGAGTACATATAATATCTCATACAATGTAAGTGCTATGTGAATAGCTGTTATACTGTATTGTTTGGGGAATAAGGACAAGAACAAAATAGTCGGTACATGCTCAGTAAAGACTCAGTCATTGTAGGCATAAAAACAAAGGGCAAGGCAGTAAGAATCTATCGTGTGTTTCAGGTTGAGCTTTGTTGAACCTGCGGACGCCGTGCTGTGGAGGATCAACTGTATTTCCTACCACTCCATTCCTCTATTGTACACTAATATCTTCCTCCATGCACGCTGACTTTCTCCCTAGATTCTGAACAGTGACTTTATCCAGGCTTTGATTCTTGTATGATTCTTTGAGCCTTGCCTAGATCCTACACTTCTATATAAATGTCCCAATTTCAGATGTTTACTTCTGCCCCAGAAAGTGCTTCCTAGCCAGAATTTCTTCCCCTGACGTTTCCTCAGCCTAAGACAGCGGCTTCTTCTTAGCTTCTTGGATTCCAAGTGTACCTAACACAGCATGACAGCAAGACCCATATAATTCTGAAAGGTAAAGATTTTAGAAGTGATTTGGGATGCTGAAGGTTGTTTCAGGAGTACTGGCTCACTCTCTTTTAGCACTTTTCTCTCTAACCTTGAGGTCAGGTAATAACAAGGGTCAGAGAGCTCTCAGGCAATGGAGAACAATCAACTCTCATCTTCTCACGAACCTCCCAGCATTGATTTGATGTTACACCTCCACCTAAATTCCTGTCAGTGCAACTTTTTTCCTTCCTTTAAGCTTTTAGCTAGACACAATGCCAGTCTTGTCTTCTTGCTGACAGATAACTTCTGACGAACTAGAGTTGTGTTCCAAAGTAAGAGGCGGCATATCAGTTATCTGCAGCTGAATAACAAATTAACACAAACATAGCAGTTCCTAGTGACACATACTAGCGCGTGTATGCATGTTGGTGGTGTGGGCAAATATCAATAGCCGCCCCGTCTGTGAGTGAGGAGTCCAGTCTGGCTTAGTGGGGCCCCCAACTTCTGGCACTCTTAAAGGCTATGGTAATGTATAAACTGGAGCTGCAGCTTCATCTGAAGACTTGCTTGGGGAAGGATGACCCACTTCTATGCTTCTATGATTGGTAGCAAAATTCAGCTCCTGGAGGGTTGTTGATCTGAGGGTCTCAGTTCTCCTTTGCTCCTAGCCAGAGAGACCAATCTCAGTTCTTTATGCTAAATAGTCAGGGAAGTGAATTGTAACACTTTTGTTATAATCTATAGGCAAACACAAGTCATAGGTTATATCTATACTCAATAGAGAAAATGGCATGTGGCATGGATACCCACAGATGCAGGTGACAGAGCCCCATCTGAGAGGTGGTAAAGTATAGCAGAGAAGAGGTGGACTTTGGAGTTGGCTACCTTTCAAATTTCAGCTCCATGCTGGGCGTGGTAGCACACACCTATAATTCCAGCCTTTAGGAGGCTGAAGCAGAGAGATTGAGAGTTCAAGGCTGGTTTGGATTAATAGGGTTCCAGTATAGACCATGTTATGTAGTGAGATCTTGTTTCAATGACAAAACAAAATAATAATAATAAAAAAAAACCCTCATCTCTACCACTTTTTACTGAATATTGTGAATTTGCATTTTGGTGAGTACAAAGCCAAAACTAGTACAACAAAGACATTAAAGAATGGAGGAATACCTGTTATCTGCAGCAGGTGAGGAGAGCATGGGAGTTATTTCCTAAGCAAGACCCTCACCCAACAAAGGAAGTGTGAGCCTTTCTGTGGGGAGTCTATACAGACTCAGATAGGAGAAGGCTTTAGGGGAAAGCACATTCCTGAACCTGCTCAGTTTAGCATAATAGTTCAAGAAAGAAAGATGAGGAACATATTTTGGGGGCATGTGTAGCTCAAGGTTCATAGAGTACATGTTTGAAATGTTAAAATGACAAACAGGGATACTTTGAGGCATGTCAGTGAGTGTCATTAAGTTTTAGCTGAAAAGAGGGAAAGGATACGCTGGAGGTACATTCATACAGGAGTTTGCCTCTAGAGGTAACTGCCTTACTTAGTGGCTAACACATTTAGTGTCCATGCCTCTCTGGACAACAGTGATAGTAACTGTACCTACCTTGTAGAGTTGTGAGTACTAAATGTATTACATTGAAAGTACTCAGAAGAACCTGCTGTATGGTAAGTACCCTATAACTTTTAGCTAATTGTTAATGTTCCCTTTGCTATGCTGCTTATAGAGAGGTGAGGGTGGACCCTGGGCAGTGTTTCCTTTCTCTCTGAGATTTTCCAGTTGTAAGCAATGATCCTTTAAATCACTTCTACGTCTCTGGGCTGGGTTTTGAGATCACCACAAATTAGCTGCATATTACACATTGGGCAATTGCCTCCTATTGATTTGTCTGGTTCCTCCAGGGGAAGGTGGGGTGCCACAAATGATAAGTAAAGTGACCAAGGCCAGCCATTCAGAAAGAAGAGTCTTTGGGGACAAACTGATACTATGTCGTGTGGTTTCATCTCTAGGAACTCAAGTCAGGCCATCAAATATTAATAATGAGCATTTAGCAGGAACTTCTGACCTTTAAACACTCCTAGAGTCTGTTACTAGAGTTTCAAAGGAAAACTGTTGCCTGAAGGGGGACTTTGGAAAGCATTCTGAGATGCTCTTTAAAGATATTTTAGCTTTGTGATTGAAAAAGTAGATAGAATTGGCCCCAAGAGCAATCTCCAGGTGGAAACTGTAAGAACTTTGTTTATGAAAGTGACTTGAAGTATTAGGAAGAAGCCGAGGTTTTAAATCAACCTAGAAAAATCATCCACTATTGCAGAACTGTGAGATAATATATTTGTTTTTGTTCTCAATTCCTGATATGCAGCTCCTAAAACCCCTTGGATCTCATGCATGATGAGCAAGCAGGTCTTTTGCTACAGAGACAGCTGGTGGCCATGGGCCTCTGAAAAGCTTCAGGATGCAAGCAAGAGGTTAGACAGACTGAGGCAGGATTAGAGTGCTGCAGCTTGTGGTTCCATTCCCACCCTCTTGGGATGGGGAGGGTGGAAGAGAGCCCCAAGGTTATGTTGATTATCAGTGACCAATGATTTGTGTGTGTGTGTGTGTGTGTGTGTGTGTGTGTGTGTGTCCATGTTTGTATGTGTAAGAGTGCATGTACCTGTAGAGGTCAGGAGACAACTTGGGGTCATTCCTTAGGTGCTGTTTACCTTTTGATTTTGTTGTTATTGCTTTAAGGCAGTGTTTTTTCTTAGGTCTGCACCTCACCAAGTAGGCGAGGTTAGTTGACTAGCCATCAAGCTCAAGGGATCATCCTGTCTCCACCTCTGATTTCTTATATGGATACTGAGGATCTGATCTCAGGTTCTTATGCTTACATAGTAAGTACTTTACCCACTGTGTCATCTCCCCAAGCCACCATGCCTGACTTTTTTTATGTGGGTTTTGGGGATCAAGTTCAGGTCTTGGTGCTTGCATTTTACCAACCAAGCTATCTTCCTAGCCAATGGACAATGAGTTAACTGATTTTTCCTATATAATAAAGCTTCCATGAAAAACAAAAGAGCTGGGTTTAGTCAGCTTTCTGGTAACGGACCACACAGGGATTCCGGGGTGGGGGCGGGGGCAACATGGCACTTCAGAAAGGTCCTGAAAGCTCCTCTCAGACTTTCCTCACTCATTGCCTATGTTTGACTTTCATCTGGCTGTTCTTCAGTGGGTACATTGTAAATGTCCAGGAAAAAAAAGTCAACATGACGTAGCATTGGTTTGAGGCACTTGAATGGGGTCAGGAGGCTGCTGTTAATCATATTTCAGAAGGTCTCAGAGCTGAATCTTTCAACTGGGCTGCAGATGTCTCCCATTGATATGAGTTGACTTTTGAAACATAGTTAACCTCTGCTGACCTTTGGCACAATAGAATGTATCCCCCAAACCACCCAGAGACTGAGCCCAAGCTCAATCTCTTTCTTATAAAAAAAAAAAAAACTTTTGTCAGTGCTAGTCTTAATTCTTGACTAAAAGTGAAGATATTTCTAAGCCCTTTGCAGTTAAAAAGCTGTAAGTAAAGTCGCCATTTCATAAAACTTGGGAGCACGTTTTATTTACCTTTTTATATTTTATTAATTAATTTTGTGTGTATGTATGTGGGCACATGCACTCTGGTGTGCATATGGAGGTCAGAAGACAACTTGTGGGAATTGATTCTTCCACCGTGGATCCTGTGGATCACACTCAGGTCATCCGCTTGGCGGCAAGTGCTTTTACCTACAGAGCTATCTCCCTTGCCCAGGGAGCACATTTTCAGGATTGCTTGAAATCCGTGTTTTCTCTAATTGCAATCTTAATTGGCCCCAATGGATATAATTTTTTTTGTTGTTCTCAACGATATTGCTTTTATTCTCAGTGAAGTTAAAGCATTTTCTTGAGATCAGTGTGTTGCTGTGGGAAACTGATGAGCCTAGCAGGGGGTTATAGGAATTTGGATTCATACTGTTAGTCAAACACACAGTCACAACTTCGGACTTGTCACTGGGGTCTAAACTGGCTTGGGGGTGCTTTCTTGAGGGACTGAGCCCCTAATGTATGAGATGT